CACACACGACACACACGCACACAACACCCACACACAGCACACACACACACCCACACGCCCCCCCAACTTCTTCGCACAAACATAAACGTATACTTTACAGGACCCTGAATGCCTGCTTCCGTGTTCCCAGTCAAGACCGTCCTACTTGGTGTTGGTGGTGTGGGTGTTGTGGTGGGGTGTGTGTGTGTGTGTGGGGGTGTGTGTGGTTGTGTGTGTGTGTGTGTGTGTGTGTGTGTGTGTGTGATTGTGTTTGAGACAGAAAGAATAATGTGGTGGTGTTTATAAAGTCACTTTACTTCACAAAAATGCAACGAGTCCTCCACTTTACTACAATAGACCACAACTACCGAAACCAAACAATAACAAAATAGGAAACACAATAAACAAAGGAAAACAAAGAAAACAAAAATGGACACAACAACAAACAACAACTAGTCCAAAAGAAAAAATATAAGTCAAACACTGAGATGACCCACATACATTAAAGAGGTACAAAAAAAAAAAAGAAAAGATGACAGAGAACACGACGACGTGGAGAAAAGTGGGAGCCAGACAATTAATGGTCCCAGGAGCAGCGAGACCAACCAAATCGACCGGCCGAGACAACACTAACAGAAAAAAAGGAGAATCTACTAACCAGGCTGCGAATGGATAGTGCATGTTACCGACCTCGTATTTCCATCGCTTGTGTTTTGGTGTCTATTTGCCATGTAATGTTTTAAAGTTTAATTTGTCTATTTGGTGACCTTTCGTATTTTCGTGTAACCAAAGCTATACGAATTTGAAAACCCTCAACCTCAAGTAACAAGAGTCACAGAGGAGAAAGGAAGGAGAGACTCAAGACGGACCGTTGTGTATTCGCGAAGACAGAAAACAGCCTGGGCGATTTACTAAACGGTGGGCCGTCGAGGAGGTGGAGGTGTGAGTGAGAGACCTTAATCAGTGTATACCCAAATCATTTTCACGAGGTCATTAATTTAGCACAGGTTGCTCACACAAAATTTCTTGTCGTATTGCGTGACTCCGTTTGTTACTTGAAAAAGTCCCGCCTCCTAATAAAATAATAAAAAAAGCAAAACCAATCAAATAATATAGGCGAAAACGGCGGGCGGCGAGACATCATACATATTAAAAAATCTACAACACGATATACCAACGAGAATATAAAGTAGATCCGAAAAAAAAAAAAAACATATCCCAAAGCATATCACGAGAAAATAACACCCAACAACACACACCAGAACACACAACAACACTTCCAACCAAGAACCAACAAAAAATCAAACACTAACCAAGACGAGCACATATATGCAAAACACTAACCAACGTCCACCGAGTCATAAGACTAGAAGTTTACAAGAACAGCACGATAAACAAAAAAAGACTAACCAACAAGTACACAAAAGAGGAAACCTACACACAACAAAGACCAATATAAGCAACACCAATAAAACCAATCTATACAGAACAAACACACACACAACACACCACCAAAACACAACACACACACACACCACACACACACACACACCCACACCACACACAACCACCAACACACACACACACACACACAAACACACACACACACACACACACCACACACACACACACACACACACACACACACACACACACACACACACAACAAAACACACACACGAATTGGTTGTGAATCAAGTTTCTGTTCTTCCACACAATGTACGGATCTCCCACACACCACAGCATTTTACCTGTGCACACACAATTTCTCAACATTTCCTTTCACCCTGCCTCCCCTTGCATTTCTTTCAGTAAATTTCTGTCAATAATCTACAAAGCTACTTCTTATCTACCCACTACTTTATTCGTTTTATACTAGGAGAGAAGGAGAGAGGAGAGAGAAGCAGAGAGAGAGCGGGGAGAGAGGAGAGAAGGAGAGAAAGAGAGGCAGAGGAGAGAGAGAGGAGAGAGGAGAAGACGGAGAGAAAGAGAGAGCAGAGGGAGGGAGGAGAGAGGAGAGAGCAGAGGAGAAGGTAGAGAGAGAACAGGGAGAAAGGAGAGAGCAAGGAGACAGAGAGAGAGGAAGAGAAAGGAGAGACAGAGGAGAAGCAGAGGGAGAGAGGAGAGACGAGAGAGAAAGGGAGAGAGAGGAGAAGGAGAGGGAGAGGGAAGGGAGGAGAGAAGAGAGGAGAGAGAGAAAGAAGAGCAGCAGGAGAGAGAGGAGAGAGCAGGGAAGAGGACGAGAGAGGAAAAGTAAGAAGGAGGAGAGAGAAAGAGGAGGGAGGAGAAGACAGAGGAGAGAAGAGAAGGCGAGAGAGAGGAGCTAGGAGAAGAACGACGAGAGAGAGAGCGAGAACATCTCATGTGTAGGTCCACGCCATGGCGATGAAATTAGAATGTTAAAGTCCTTACAAAACCATGCAATGTAAAAAATTTACAAATGAATACGCAATAAGATACAATATAAATTCCATATAAATAGTAGTAACATATATATATATAATAAATATAAAACATTACATACAAAGAACACAACACGAATATCAAAGCAATAACGAAACATAATATATCAATGAGAATACGAAAATTAAAAACAGGAACCCCCTAAAACAAGAATCCCCCACGTTTCACAGTTCTATATTGTTATTTAAGTGTCCGGCTACCGTTCAACAACCTCCCCTGTCTTCTTTCTGACTTCACTCTTTACTTCCTTACCTAAATCTCGCCGCTTACTTCCATTTTCTTGTTTTACTTTTTCTCTTTTTTCTCTCTTTCCTACCTATTCCAACTTACAGGAGTCCGACTTCACGACGACCGTCTGTCGTGTCGTCCCTCTCCAATTTCCAGTGGCGAGACGTCTTGCCAGTGTGTGTGTTGTGTGTGTGAATGCGGAGTCAGACGGAGCGTCGTTAGACTGACCAAGTGCCGTGACGACAGTACAACTTTGGGGGCACTTAGCCAAGGACCCCCCCTGCAGTGCTCCTCCACACGTCCTTGCAACAATTGACAAGACTCTTTTAAGTGAACAATGTAAAGTATTTCCTGATTAACAAAATTTTGGCAAAGAATTATACTAAGTTGAAAGTTAGAATTTGTTAAGTCCTATCTCTTTACGGAGCCACCTAGACGGTACGATCCATAATGAATGAAATGTGTTTAAACAACTTAAGACTCTAGCGACGTACCAAAAGTCCGTTAGGTCTCCAACAATTAAGAACGATTTTCTGGCAACGATTCCTCTTGTCTGGCAACGATTCCTCCTACTTCTCTGTAAACGTCATATAGTCAGGCGTCTATTCTTCAGGATATGTTAGAATTGCAGACTTTTTATGTAAGAAAATAATTTATACCTCGCCGTACTTTAAAGAACTAGTAAAGTATTTGTTTAATGTACATATAATACACAATTTGACGGATATGCCTTCGTGAAACCTTAACGCGAGAAACAGATTTACACGGGAAAGGTTGATTGATCCGACCAGGACTAAGTACCTACCGATTTGACATCTTCTGTCTGTCCTTCTTGCGATTCCCTTGTCGCTTCTTCTGTCTGTCCTTCATTTGTGGATTTCCCTTGTCGCTCTCTGTCTGTCCTTCATTTGTGCTATTCCTTTGTCGTCTCTTCTCCTGTCTGTCCTCAGTGTATTTCCCTCTGTCGCGTCTTCTTCTGTCTCCTTTCATTCGTGATTTCCCTTGTCGCTCTACGTCTGTCCTATTTGGATTTCCCTTGTCGCTTCTTCTGTTCGTCCCTTCATTTGTGATTTGCCTTGTCGTCTTCTGCTGCTGTCCCTAATTGTGTGATTTCCTGTCGTTCGTCTTCTTCCTGTCTCTCCTTGTATTTGTGATTCCCTTGCTCGTCTTCTTCTGTCCTGTTCCTTCATTGTCGGTGATTCCCTTGTCGTCCTTCTCTGTCTGCACTTGCATTTGTCGATTTCCCTTGCCGTCTTCTTCACTGTCGCCTCATTGTATTTCCTGGTTGTCTTCTGATGTCTGTCATCAGTTGTGATTCCCTTGTCGTATGCTTCTGTCTGTCCTCATTTGTGGATTACCTTGTCGTCTCTTCGTGTCTGTCCTTCATTTTGTGATTTCTCGTAGCGTCGTCGCTGTCTCCCTCCATTTGTGATTTCCTTGTTGTTCTCTGTCTGCCTATCATGTTGTGAATTTCCTTGTGTCTCTCTCTGTCCTTCATTGTGATATCCCTTGCCGTCTTCTTCTGTCCTGTCCTTCATTGTTGATTTCACACACACACACACACACACACACACACACACACACACACACACACACACACACACACACACACACACACACACACACACACACACACACACACTTTGTCCTTGGGCAGCAGCAGCAGCAGCAGCCGTTGGCCGCTCTAAACGACATTAAGCGTAGGTGACTGTAAACTTGGGTAATTATGATAAATGTGAGCGATTATGACGAATTATTCCCCTCCATTGTACTAATAGCGTAATTAGCAACAATAATCAAAGACTTATGATGTTGAAATAAGGCGACGCCGCGGACAATTAGACCGCAAGGAGCTAATAATGGAGAACTTATGGTGTTTTCCTGCAGGGCGGAATCACTGTTTGAAATGTGGGTGTTTTTCTCATTTTTCTCTCTGATGAAAGAAAATTGAAATAAATACTCAATTAACGCCAAGCTTTTCTGTTGAATGACGTCAATGCAAATGAAATTAAGTCACGGCAAATTGCTGCAGGTGTTGTTTGGTCCTTTGAGTCGAGTTTTACGACTGAAAAGTTAACTCTAAACACGTGGCAGAAAGTGAAAACTACGATGTCAAACGCAGCGAAGAACAAAGCCTCGGTTTAGATGATGAGGGTAAAAGGACATGAATAATACAAATTCATAATATCCTCCGTTGGTTGTCTGTCAGAGGTGTCATCATCATGTGGTCATGCAGTTTGGAGGACGGGAGGTTTTTGAACGCTCGCCCTCTTGGTGTGTTCAAAAGTCACTTTGACATCAGAGATTTCTGACTTCTAAACACAAGAAAGGACCAGATTATCTCGATGATGCATTCAAGGATACTCTGACATTGGAGAACTTTTGGAAAGAGTTGTGCATTGATGAGTTGTTTTTTGGGGGGATATTAAACCAAGGAGACTAAATAAATAACAAGGAAATGTTTTTAAAACTTCACCGCCGTCAAACCACTGCCTTGAGACACTGACATTACTTCAAGTAATAACGTTTGAATTGTTATATATGTTAATGTTGTTTACCTTCAAGTCGTAGTGTTGTACCGTAGATGTTATACGTTTAAAGACAGTCATGCATCTGATTACCAACATATTGACATATCTAAAAAAGGTTTTGTTGACTTCCAAATACTATAAAAAATCCTCAATCTCAATGATGGATTCAAGGAGCCTCGGACTTTCAAGATCTTTTGGAGTCATTTTTTTGGGGTGAGGGAAATCAACCGAGACCAATGAGTTAACTAAAAACAAAAAACGTTAGATTAACTACAAGTTGACAAAAGTGAAGTCCACTTAACATCAAAGAATTTATGTTAAAACTGAAAATCTGCTATGCTATGACAAAATATATAGATTAATGTCCACATCCTGCTCATGACAAGAATACACTCTAAATGTACCAACACTTAATTGTGTGCAAATATCACTAATTTAGTAGGTTTGTTCTCAAAGTATTAGGAAATGTGAAATTAGCTGTTAATGACATTAATCATAGAGTGGTGCAGTGACGAGTCCTAAAACCAGGAAGTGAGTCAGCATGTCACCACTTCCTGTTCCCTGGTCTCAGAGCCAATGGGATCTCTCCGTAGGATTTTGGAGAATATCTGGAAATAAGGTCTGTGGTTGAGACACATTGAAGAGACGGATCACGTTTTGTTCTACATTAAATCCATCAGCAGTGACCCCACTGGTGATTTCTGAAGAGTTGACGTGTCTGAAAAACGATGGTTGTTACCAAGTGGCTGAATAGGACTACAGAGGTCGTGGAGGTCGTTGTACGTCATTACGCCGAACACGTAAACACTCCTCTAAGTTAGTTTGCCCTGTTCTGCTTGAAAGCAAGTACCTGCCTCCTGCAGACTGTTCAAACAAACGCTTCAACTTGGACCATTTAGAATCTGTATGTTTGAACATGGATCTTAAGTTGGCGTGACGTTGAAGCAGCGATGTAGTTCCTTTATAGCATAACGTTAGCATTTTGCTTCTGGCGACTAGATTTATGATTAGAAAAGGATAAAAATAGGGTAGACATGTGGAGATTATCCGGCTGAACAAAACGTGATCCGTCTCTTCAATGTGTTTCAAACACAGACCTTATTTTTAGCTATTTTCCAAAATCCTATGGAGAAATTGCATTGCGTTTTGTCGAAGGAACCAGAAGGAGTTTACTTCCAGGTTTCAGGACGCGTCAGCACTCTATGGGTTCTTGTTTTATAGATCAAAGGAGAACATCTTCTTGTAATGTTCTTGTTGTCTAGATCTATAAGAGGAAATGCTCTTGTTTCCTAGGTCCACGTGGAGCAGGAGCTTCTGATCTACGAGGCGTTCCCGTACGATCAACAGCAGCCACAGAACAACCTGAAAGTGCGCTTCAAAAAAGTAAGATCTTAACACCGATAAAGATGGACATCATGGAGTGACATTTGAACAAAGTGGATGTTAGCTGTGCTTCTTTACTTCTGCACAGGTTCCCCACAACATCAACTTCAGAGAAAAGAAAACTAAGGTTAAGAAAGATAGGAAGGCGGAGAGCGGAGCCACTGAGGACAGCGTTTCTGTGAAAAGCCGGATCGCCAGATTCAGATACTTTGAGGACATCTCGGGATACTCAGGGGTGAGGATGAAAAGAAGAATAACAGCCGTGTTGTGACAACATTTAAATATAAGGAAATAATGGTATAACTATATCAATAAGGCTGAAACGATATCCTGGGGAAAATACACAAGCGAAATGGAGCAGTCAGTAAAGTCATATATACAAAATAGATGAATACATTATAGTTAGCTGTTATTACATACTTCTTTAATGGAAGAATTTCCCAGGGCAGCCCTACTTGATTATTTGCCACCCTTTTATACTAAGTTAGATTTTACAGGTGTGTTTTCCATCATCGTACTAGCTCTCCTCGTTGTTTCAGGTGTTTATCTGCGGGCCGTCTCCTCACTGGATGCTCGTCACGTCCCGCGGAGCCATCAGGCTTCATCCAATGACCATCGACGGATCAATAGAGTCCTTCGCCCCCTTCCACAACATCAACTGTCCCAAAGGGTTCCTCTACTTCAACAAACAGGTACACACACACACACACACACACACACACACACACACACACACACACACACACACACACACACACACACACAAACACTTTGATAGTATTCGTTGGGGCTTGCCTTCACTGTCACTTCCACAAAGAGAAAAAGAGAAACAAAAACATAACCTTGTAATTAAATGATTATACTGTGTGTGTGTGTGTGTGTGTGTGTGTGTGTGTGTGTGTGTGTGTGTGTGTGTGTGTGTGTCCTTCAGGGCGAGCTAAGGATCAGCGTCCTGCCCACCTACCTGTCCTACGACGCCCCCTGGCCCGTCAGAAAAATCCCCCTGAGGTGCACCGTGCACTACGTCGCCTACCATGTGGAGTGCAAGGTAATATCCTCTCACACAGAAGAAGACACACACATTTAAAAATGTTAATAATCCCTCGTCCCCGACTTGAGCTTGAATCTCAGGATCCATTTATCTGTGATCCTCTCCAGAATGGAAGTAGTCATCACATACAGAGCATCAACTAGTTCCTGAACAGTGTCCTTCACATGCTGATATCCAAGAGAGGGAGTTACTCAGTCACAAGATGGAGGAATAGAAAGCAGTATTCAATGTTTACTTCAGATTAGCTCCACGTCAGAAATGATCATGCTTGTCATATGTCTCTCTCCATAGAGGCTGAATCATCATGTTAATCACATAGCTATCATATGCCTCAAACAGTCCTGATGCTCTTCTAGGTAATCACACATCCTGTCATGTTCACAGCTACAGTTGGGATACCTTTGTAATCATGTTACTCTCATGTTGGAAGAGGACATTCAGTATCCACACACACACACACACACACACACACACACACACACACACACACACACACACACACACACACACACACACACACACACACACACACACACACACGCACACCTCCACCATGCGAAGTAACAGCGTGTCGATCACTTTCAAGAGTTGGAGAGAGAACAGGAAAATCATTTTTATTTTATTTTCTCTTTTAGGTGTACGCTATTTGCACGAGTGTGAAAGATCCGTGCACACGCATTCCCAGGATGACGGGAGAGGAGAAGGAGTTTGAAACCATAGATCGAGGTCAGACACACACACACACACACACACACACACACACACACACACACACACACACACACACACACACACACAC